GGCAGGTGCATTATCACACTCTGTGAAAGTAGGAGTTTCTCCTCCCTTTTCAGATAACTGAAAAGGCTGCAGAGAGCTCGGACCAATGCCAAATCAGCCGTGGGCGAAGGAAGCTCTACATTTGCAGCGTATCGGGTTTCACAGGTGGAGACAGCCCACCTGCCCTGTCACTCGACCTGGTTTAAGAATCGCTTTAGTCAGCAGCTCACATGAGGGAGTTAATCTAGTTGTAAGAATGTGAAGGAAGAGCTTCTGCAGCTTTAAAGTCCAGGTAGAGAGAGCACGTTTTTCCAAGGACGGATTGTCAGACTCAGTTTGTTTAAGTACGACAGCCTATACATAATGTGATTGACAAAATACACTTTACAGAAATATGATGGTATACTAAATTAGTTTTTTCCTCCACTGAATACACTATTGTTTTAAATGTAACTGAGAGGCAGATCCTCAATTTTCATTTGGAATCAATTAAAACAACGTGTGGGTTGTGGTGAGACAGCCCCAAAGGCAGCTGGGAAAACATTAAAACAATCTATTAAATCTTTGGAAAAACATTTGCTTCCTTTTTGTGAAGTTTCCATAATTAAAGTGGCAGTAGCTCTCTAAAGTCACACGTCATACATAAATTCAATGTTGGTACAAAACTGCTGACTGTGATTTCCTCTTACTCAATTCCAGTTGGCAATATGTAATGAACACAGTTTACTTTATATAATATAAGTGTGGACTGGGTTACACTGGTCTCAAAGATTTGTTTCCATATCACAAGTTGTATTCTGCTTGGTATAATACATTTCCATGTAAGTTTTATACAGTGTATAAGCCCAAAAAAACTAGCAAATTCTTCCATTTCAGAAGATGAAGGCAAGATTTGTATTTGTAATGTCTCTATAATATCTGAACTCATTGTTCAAAAGAGAAGTTGTAAAAGAAAAAAGTCATGACTTCACACAGTCCATACACACACACACACACACACACACACACACACACACACACACATGCACACGCATACCCACACACACTGTAAACCAGATGGATTTAGGGGGATTATAGCAACTCTATCTGAGATAAAACAAAGTTCCTGTTTTCTCTTCAACTTCCTCACAGGAGAAGCCGGGAGTTTATTTTCAGCTTGGAGACCGAGAGCCTGAACAGAGGGCGCTGGCGGAATTTAAAGTTTTGTTTGTGTACATATAAATTAATCCTGGTTATAACTTGAAAAGACAAAAAAGGTTGAGCACGAGGATGAACATAAAAGCTAGTGGTGAGCTCCTGCAGGAAATAAGCGGGCAGTTCAGTAGAGGCTCCTCGATGCTATCTGAGAAAATAGCTCGTGTGACAGAGGTCTGTTTGGAGTGTTAATGTGCCACAGACTTGCACTCTCCAAAGACCTCATGCTTTGGATTTAGTTTGTTTAGTGTCTCTCAATAGCCCTGCCCTCCACATAGCAAACACAGGGAGGTTTGTTCAGGAGTCCCTCTGTTAGTTAATATAAAGCAGCTTTCAAGGTCACTGTCACCAGCCTGGGCGCTCTGTGTGGCCCGCAGAAAACAAAAAACTCCATTCTGCATCGGTGAGATTAAACCTGAGGGATTTGTACTTCTCACCGCCTGACGGTCAGGAGCTGAGCACAGAGTGACGAAGCATGTTGTGGCGGCTGTCCTCGTGGTATCGTCTGGATAAATGGAAGGCTGTTTAATCTGCGCCTGCAAAGAAGATTTGAGAGGGGCCAATAAGAGGGGAGAGGGATTTAAGGTCAAATGCAATAATAGGTTTGACTAGTTTGTGCATTGCTCCTGCACAGTGAGTGTTTTTACTAGTTAACACAATGTGATAATGCGTGTGCCCACGTCTGACAGTGAATTGGAGGTGATTTAAACATGACCGTCCCCGCAGCTGTTGAGCATCGGCTGCTCTCACAGACAGAGCGGAAAGAAGGAGGCGATAACATTTTAATGAGGTGATTGCATTATACTGTATGCTGTCCGGACTCAAGCTGCTCCCCTGTGACATCCTAACGCGACACTAAACACTTGTTTGTCGGCCGCTTACCCTGGATGTTCGCTGACGAGGGTGTGAACTGTGGTCTGTGATCTAAACATTTGTGGGAAACTTGTTTTAAAAGAGCCTGGCTGTTTGTGAGGTGCAAGTTCCCACTTGCAAGGATGTACACACAGTTTCCCCTTTGGGCTTTGTGCTACAGTTGTGTTCATCATTTAATGAGTGCATTAGGGCTACAACTAACGACTATGCCTACGGATTAACATATTTTATTTATACGATTAATCTACAGCCCAAGTGACAACTACAGATGAGTCTTTTAGGCTGGCCAAAACACAGTTTAAAAATAATAATACAAATAATAATCTCAAATTAGGTCATTTTAGAAACTGGAATCTCAAAATATTTGGCCTGATAAAGGAAATATATTATATAATTAATCAATCAACAACATTGCTTTCTGTCGTGTTCATCAACTAATTGCTTTACAAATGATTCAATAAACGTTGGCATTGAGTCAAATTTGTGATTTAGAGTGGAAACAATTAGACAATCAATCGATTATTTTATCAACAGCCAAATTAATTGGAAACCATCCTGATTATCTATCAATCCTTTCAGTGAGCAATGTGCATCAAAAGACTAAGACTCATGCAGCTTTTCTGAGTTTATTAAATCACAGAACACTGAAAATATTTGAGTTTCAGACAAAATATTTAATATATATCTTTTTGAAAAACTAAGCACTATATGATATTCAGTTATATTTTGGGCATGTTGCTCTCTAGTCCTTTTTTAGAAAGCCCTCGATAGTCATATAAGATGGATGTAATTGAACTGGAGCTGCGTTACACATCGGCCCAGCCTTACACTGCTAATGTGCTGTCACAAAGCGGCAGTGAGTTCAACTCACAAGCGACCAAGAGAGTGGAGCGGCATTATCAGCAGTGGGGCCAGAACACATGACTGTGTGGCTCCTGGAGCTTCTCTGCGTCCACGGAAGGAATCATCCTGACAGTCTGTGACTTGGCTCTTTTCGCCTGTCTGCCTCTCTGTGCGTCAGACACGGGGCCCGAGCTGGAAGGGGCCCCTGGCTGTCCCCCTGTCCGGAGCTGAGAGCCTGTCGCTTCCCATCTCCTCTCGCTGCGTGGTCGCTGTGCTCTCTACACTCAACAATGTGAGATGATTCCTGGGTGATGGCGATGAGTACTGTAAATGATTTCACACTACACGTGAGATGCTGACTATGCTCTCTCAGTCTAATCGATTGACCCTCTTTTACAGCCCTTTGTGGCTTGTTAATTGGTCTCCAGCACCCTGCTGACACAGTGACCCTGATGGAGAAGAATTACTGCTGTCTCGTCATGCATTAACCTCCCTCTTCCACCCCCCTCATTTTCATCAACCATCCCTCCCTCTCAGGCCTAACCTCTGTTCCCATCCCCCCCCCCCCGGCAACACACTCCCTGGCTTAACAGCATCTGTGTGGACGGGGCCATGTGCACATGCACCCCCGTCCTGTCACATGTTGCTGTTCCTCTGGGGGCTGCGGTCAGGTGACACTGCAGCCAATCAAACACTGAGAAGCACACACTGACTGTTGTCCCCTAATTAGTTTAATATAGGCATGGTCGGGGTTAAGAGAGGCCTCTTTTCATGGGGGGTCAGATCAAGCCTCAGGCCTTGGGACTTTTGAACAAAAACACACTTCCTTGCATCTCTGTTGTCTGCAGTTTCAGTACATTTCGTGTGAAAAACAAAATATGTAAGGGGTCTCAGCTGCTGCGAAAGATAATTTTCCTCATCAACAATCATGCTATAAATCTATAAATTGTCAAACTCTTCAGAGGTCCCCACAATTCTAAAGTTGATATCTTGTTTTGTCTGACCAACAGTCCTGAACCATGTGTTAGTTTACTAGCACCTAAAACAGGAAGGAGTTGAGAATGAATGTTGATATGATTTAATAGTTTATAAAAAATATACAAATATTTGACCTGTAAATGAAGACCTTTCGAGAGCCTCTCTGATCCAGAAACAGCAGGGTGCCGTTACACTGCTGACATCTCCAGAGATTAGACATGATTCCCTTTTCTGCGTTTTTTAAGAAACCTTTGTGTGTGTGGATGGTTTCCCTGTGCAGCTGCAGGATGCTGTGTAGCGGCTCACCCCTGGTGCCTCCATTATTTAAAAGTGTGAATATTTCATGATGATATCAGGGTGGGGACGTCCTAATGAGCCACTCGCACATTTGGCCCTAAAACAGGCCAGTGAGGGCTCCTCTGTGGCGCCACAGTAACTCAGTGGGGGCTGTTATAAAGTCTTATTTGGGGATTTAACTGCTCGAGGAGAACATTTAAGAAAATAACAACATTTCTGACTCTCGCACCAGCATCTCGTTGTTTTCTTCCTGAGGAGATTTGACTCTCCCTTTTTCTGTGGAAAACAAGCCTGTTAAATCTAGCTCATTGTAATCTAGACTGTGAAACAAGGGCATACATTCAAAACTGACTCTGAGAAAGAAACTATAAATGTAGCTATGACCCGTATCATCAATCATCTCTTTATAAATAATGCCATCAGGCTCCAACTTGTAGTTTTGTCTTCTCTGGTATTAAAAATCTGTGCAGACGTTTACTTTGAGGTAGAGATAAAAGAGCCTATGTATATTAAAGCCAGAAGTTCAAAGATCTGACTTCATTGTGCAGTGCGTGTTTGTACGTCATAGAGGTGAGTCAGAAAACTTCTCAGATTAAGTGTTTGAAGAGACATAATAAAACACAAGGCGATGCAGCGCTGCTCTTACAGCCTGTCAAATACTTTTTGCTTCACTTGTTCTCAGTCAGGGTCTGTGATACTGATCTCACTGAACACTGATTGTGATTTAAAAAATGGCTGACTGTCCTTTTTGAGTCTCTTTCTAACAGTTGTTGTCTGCAGTCATGCTTCATTTAAGTGATTCCACTAATAACAAGTTTTCTGTTGTTTTCTTTCAGTGAGGGCGTCTTCAAGTGTCCGGAGGACCAGCTCCCGTTGGACTATGCCAAGGTACAATTACAATCTAATAACACACTTTTTTCCCTCTCTTTAAAAAATGCTGATTTTGAACAATTATAATGTATTGCACACCATGTCCACTATCTTAGCTAAGCATTTTAGCATGATGAAGTTGGCTATTTGGCAAAAAGTACAGCTGAATACCTATAGATTTGCAACATTTTTGACAAATGTAAGCATTTACCTTATTATGTCGCTTAATAAAAACTATAGAAGGTCATGCCAATCCATCCAGTAGTTGCAGAAATCAGCCCCGAACAAAGTGGTGTACTTTTTTGACTGAATGCACAAAATACAGGATAATACATTTTTAACATTGAAAAAGGCTTTCCAATTTTAATTCCATGACTTGACTTGATGACATTTTACAATAAAAAGAATGAACAACTGTACCAGTGAATCTCTTAATAAGATACAAGCAATAATCCTTAACCTAGAGTCCGGGGTTGTGGTTTATGTCAGTGGGAACAAAACACTGTTCAATTGATTTGAACCACCATTTTGTTTCCCCCGGCCCCAAGTAAATATCTCCCAGGAGAAAATAAAACTGTATTTAGATTTGAACTGTACTCTTTCTCTCTTCGTTTTTAAGAGCCAGTTAGATGAGATTCCGCCCGAGGGGGGAGAAGATAATGACTAACTGTATTCAGAGTAAGAGGATGTGTCCCTCTCATGCGACATCCCAGCTGTAAAGAAAGAGAGGGACTGCAACAAAAGGATAAGGGTTTATTTCTGAACTATGCATCAGAGAATTTAAAACCAACCAACAGTTAATGATCCTCCCTGTTTCTGAGCAGCTTTTGGCATCATTTTCAAAAAAGCTTTATGTATATATCTCCCATACAGTTTGTTAGCATTAGCCTGAGTTAGCTGTCGAGCCATTAACCCGGAGATGCAGCAGTGCAGGTCTGAATGCTGTGCTGAGAGCAATGGAGGCGCCTGTAATAGCAGGGACTTCCCATGGGAAGGATGTGCTCATGGCACACCTGTCAGACATTGTTATTTACCAATGCTCCCAGTCGCCTGCAAATTCCCCATCCTGGTGGTCTACTGTCAGGGTTATTGTCCCGCTCGTTGCACACTGTCCTTCAAAAAAAATGTGCACAAACACAACCTCACTCATTAAAGGACTGTGCTGCTGCTGCTGTACTAGTAGTAGTAGTGTGGGACTAACAATGGCTAAACCAGACAGAATAAACCCCCAAGTTTGAGCTCCAAAGAGCTTAACCCCCCTGATCTGCTTGGGACTAAGTTATTAAAAGGTCATTACTGCAGTCTCCCTGCAGATTCCAAGACTGGAACAATGAGAGAGTGCTTTTAGAGGAGTTTTTTCTCCCTCTCCCTGAAAGAATGTGATTATGGCAGCAAAAAAATGCCTGCCTCCACTGTAAAAGTGCAAGCATCCGTTTTAATGTAAGATATGTTTGTCAAGCGTATTTAATAGATTTACACACATGTTTGGTTTGTCTGAGGCTTCTATTCCCGAGTCAGATAAAGACATATTTTTATTGTAGATTATTTTGATGAATTCACTTTTAATTTGATTGCGATAGCTCCCATGTGTCGGTGCAGTAAAAGGCACATGAGTGCATTGGGGCTTTTACTGAGCTGTTATTTGTTTAGAGGGCTGTTGTAACATTTTGAGGAAGTGGCTTTTCTTGTTTGACCAGTGCTTTGCTTTTGTGACAGCATGGGGGGATGGAAGCAGAGCAGAGCTGTAAATCCTCGGGACAGCGTGCTGTAAAGGAGGATTTGGGGTGTTTGGGCAGAAAAGTGACTCATCCCCATCACTCAGTGACCGAGGAAATATAAATCTTTTCCTCTGCTCCCAGTTTCTCTCAAAGGTCCCATAAACCCACAAACTAACTCATTGATTGTCACTGCAACGACTGCGACGACACATTGATTCACGCAATCTCAATCCATAGTCTATCTTTATGTGAGCCTTAGACATTCAATCTTTAATAAAGTGGTGCGGAATCCAACATGTTATTGTAAAAAAGCATTTAAATGGTTAAGTCAACATCTTGATAAACATACTTTTTACTTCCTGTAGTTTTTTTGGCTCAGCGTGCCTGCCTGTTTGTCAGCAGGATTACTGAAAAACCACACAATTTTTTAAGAAAGGTTGTGGAAGTGTCCAAGTCCTGAGGCAGATACAAATTATGTTTCACTCCTGTTTACATTGTGAGATAGGGCATTTGTGCTGCATTCACGTGAATAATCAGAAAATCAGTTTCCAATTGGGAAGATTCACATGAATGTTCCCAAGAATCAGAACAATTAGGAAGCAGTGGTCGAGGTGTTGTTTAAATGCTCTGAGCAATACAATAATACACATCTTTGTAGCCTCCATGTTGTTTCTACATTACCACTTAGAGCTCATGGTCACACTGTAGTCAGATGAACAACTTCTTAAATTGTGAAATGGGATTATTAAAGGAGCATGTGGATGCAGCATAGGCCTTGGTGGAGGTCAGCGCTCTTACAATTCTAGTTTAACTGTTTTTATAATCATTACAGTTAACTGTTTATGTTGAAAGCATTGTGTGCATTTTGAATTTGCACCCTATTGATATTTTATATTAACTCTCTTTCCAATTTTGTATGCTCCAAAGATTTCCCTCGGGATGAATAAACTCCTATCTTATATATCTTTATTTTCGAGAAACACCAATCAATACCAATCTCAACGCTGTATTGATAGAGGATTTGTTTAGCTTAGCCTCATAAAAGCTGGAATCAAGAGGGCACTGCTAGCCTGGCTATGTCCAAAACACATTTTTAAATAATATGCCTACAAGCGACCCTATAGCTGACTTACTAACAGAATGTAGCTGAATAACATGGACAAATGTGAATTCATGGTTTTAGAACAAGTTAAATGTTAACAACCCAGGGTCAAATACTGCATCGCCATCTTATGTAACTCCAAAAAGTTTCAAGTTTTCATCTCCATCAATTAGCTTTTTAAGCTAATCAAATGGTGCTTCTTTTTGGGGTAAAATGCAGATTCAGACCCATTCACACCTTTGCTGTATGAAAGTGTTACATTAGAGTCTTCCAGCATTGCCTGGTCGGCTCCTGCAGCTGCAGTACTGACTATGTCCTTTTTATTTTGTTCAGATCTACCCTGACCCAGAGCTGGAGCAGCAGATCCTGGATCTGCCCATCCGCTGCATCCACAGCGAGGAGGGCTGCCGCTGGACCGGCCAGATGAAGCAGCTGCAGGTGAGAAGCTTCAATATCCTCTTATTTTATTGTATTTCTTTTTTTATCTCTGCTGCTTATCAAACTGTGATATTTGCGTATTTCCTAACATGTGTGTGTGGGTGTGTCGCTGTGTCTCACCCAGGCCCACTTCTCCACCTGCGCCTTCAACGTGATACCCTGCCCCAACCGCTGCTCAGTCAAGCTGACGCGCCGCGACTTGCCCGAACACCTGCAGCACGACTGCCCCAAGCGCAAGGTCAAGTGCGAGTTTTGTGGCAGCGAGTTCACCGGTGAAGCCTACGAGGTAAACACTCCAAATCTGTTTTCTTTTCCTTTTACAGCTCAGCGAGAACTTGATGTAAACAACCTAGAGTGACGCAATATAGTTTCCATGCCGATTTGAAAGACATCCTTGTGAAATGCAGGAGAGACTAACGCACGCGTGTCTCTATTTTGAAATAACACGTGTTGGTAGAAGAAAAGAAGCTTTGACTGGCTCTGTGTTTTTACAGTGAGAGCGCTGAAGTACCTCAGGGTCTCCTCACTAACACCTCTGTCATTTCCACCGCCCCCCCTTCTGTTTACTCTGGCCCACATGGTGCCTCCTCTGCACGCAGCTACAGCTGCTTTAGTCCACTTATGGCTCTCACATTGGAATTACTCAGTCATCTTTACAACTATGTATCATTCAAAACCTTTCAATACCACTCCAAAATGTTTTTATTATTGATTAATCTGCGGATTATTTTTCCCAATTAAAAGAAGATACAACCAACTCCAAAATCTGCAGCAGCATCATGTTTTATGTTTATATGGATTGATAAATAAATGTTCGGAACTTTATTATAAGGAAGGAATGCTGACTATTTAAAAAGCCCTCAGAGTACAACATTTGATTTGTTTAGTGGGCTAGCCCAACAATGTAGAATAAATTCATTTCATATCAAGCAATATTTTATTAAACAATAAGAAAACTATTTGGTTTACAAATATACATCAGTAAACATCTCATCATAAGATACATTATTTCACAGGTTATTAATTTGTGTATTTGCTAATTTATTTGAAATTGTCCTTAACATAGGCTGGTCAAAGATGCACACGAAGCATCACTGTTTTTTAGAGAAATCTTGTATATTTTGCTCCTTAAAATGACGTTTTGAGCTATAAAAACTGCAGTTTATGTACCGCAATTGAGTAAAGTAGTATTGAATTTATAACCCTGCTTTAAATTGTAATGTCGTGATTCCTCTCTATCTCAGAACCACCAGGGCGTGTGTCCTCAGGAGAGCGTTTACTGTGAGAACAAGTGTGGGGCGAGGATGATGCGTCGCCTGCTGACCCAGCACGGCCAGGCCGAGTGTCCCAAACGCACACAGCCCTGCAAGTACTGCAGCAAGGAGTTTGTCTTTGACACAATCCAGGTCAGTTTCACACAATGTTTTTCACAAGATTCTCAAGGGATGTTCAAATTATGTTATATTAGATAAGTTAAGTATCTGCCACAATAGTCAGTTTTTTGCAAAATGTGTTTTTAGTTGAAATAAAAGGCTTTTTTCGCTCCTGATTTAATGTATCATAAAAAAAGCTCAATATGTACAGTTTAGTGTGTTGGTAGGGCTGCAACATGTCTTTTTTTTAATTTAGTTTTGCAACAATTGGTCAATTAATGTATCACTTCGATCATCAAAATCATAATCTATAGATTCTATACTATTTTGATAATCACATAGTTGTAGAAATGAGAACATTTCTCAGACACCAGGAGCTCTTTTGGCCCGTGAACAATCTACAATGTTCACTTATAATTTAAGAAAAGGGAAAGCAGCATGAAACTCTTAACATTGATTGCCTGATTGGCAAGGGTCCCAACATCTCTCTGCTTCATGTTCAGGTGTTTTCTATATATTCAGGTCTATTTTTACAGCCTCATTTTTAATACCACATTTCTTTTTCTCCTACTCTGAAGGGCATTTTCCATGTGCCACCATTAATCTGCGACCCCACTGTGCAGAATGTGTTATCACCCATGCTGTCAGTCAGCAGTTCACACATTAACACTGTCCCCATCTCCTCTGTAGAACCACCAGTTCCACTGCCCTCGGTTTCCTGTCCAGTGCCCAAACCAGTGCGGCACACCAAACATCGCCCGAGAGGATCTGGCTAACCATGTGAAGGACAACTGCGGCAGCGCGCTCGTTCTCTGCCCTTTCAAAGAAGCAGGCTGCAAACACAGGGTAAGATTAACCTGCATAACTTGTTCTTGTTCTGCTGCTTCTTCTTCTTCTCCTTTTCAACAGTCAAGCTTGTTTGCCTTGTTGTTTATATGCATTCACTTTTATTATGTTTCCTTAAATTGTTGTTATTGTGCCCAAAATAATATTTGTTTCCTCTTTTGGAACATGCCTGTAGGCTCTATTTTAACGAGAGCCACACTTCTAGATTCTGACAGTCCAATTCTGTCTATTTTTAAAACTGACGTCAGTTTAAGAAAATGTGGACATGCTCGAGGGGGGGTGGCAGATGAGCATCATACTTGCTGCGCTCTATTAAGAATTTCAGAGAAAATGGAAACATTGTAATTTACATTTACCAATGGAAATCTGTGAACAAACAAAAAAGATGCGAACAGCCTGGCATTGTGGGAGACTTAATTGTAGTTGAGAGGCTGTGTTTAATAAATTGCATACATTTCCATGGGAGCCTGCCTGCAGACCTCCACTCTCAGGACAGTTCCGGTGCAGACCTCCACTCTCAGGACACCTCCACTGTCAGTACAGGAAGTGACGATTCTGGCGCGTTTTTTTTCCCGCCCACCGAAGGACTCGTTTGATGGAAGTTTTCAAATCACAATGGAGACTCATCACGGAGGTGATGAGTCCGCCCACCGTGCATTTTGGGTTGGCCTTGGTCAAGCCCTTTTGACCCCCCCCAGCCTGGTTCTTGTAAAAGTTTTTCGCTCAAATGACACCATGGAGGAATGTAACGGGAGTTGACAGGGGACTCTGCTCGCCTCACGAGTGCCTATTTTCGGACACTTTTTTTCACTTTTCCCCCGGTTTTTTTTTTTTTTTTTTTTTTGGCTCTTTCACTCGGTTTCTACCGGGGACATTGCCCGGTAGAAACCGAGAAAAGTGGCGCTGTGGCTGTACTGATAGTAACAACAATACAAGGTGTCCGTATATATCTATATATATATATATATATATATATATACATATGTATATAATAAGTGTCACGATCTGTCACGATCCGATTTTATTTTGTATTTGCATGCATTTCCTGTTTGGAAAGTGGCACTGTACTGATAGTGGTGATTTTATTTTGGAATTCTTAGCGTGCACTTCCTGTCATGAGAGTGGAGGTGTCCTGAGAGTGGAGGTCTGCACCTGAACTCTCCTGAGAGTGGAGGTCTGCAGGCAGACCCCTCTCTACATTTCAGATGTTTATCTTTCTCATAAACCTCAGGTTTTTAAAGAATAAATCATGCAACTCGGTCCAATCCTTATTTGATTAAAATATGTAGTTATTTTCTTTGAAAACTAACTAAGAAAAGTATATATTCTATACCATAGACAAATATTTAATAAGGATAAACAGTAGAGGCTCCAATTATGTAAATGTTTGTAAAATAAACAGATACAGATTGTGCTACTTTATATAGATGTGAATGTGACAAAGCTGAATGGATTGTATATATCCTCTCTTATTCACTGTGGTTTTAAATTATTATTCTCTCTGGCAGTGCCCCAAACTGGCTATCGGTCGCCACCTGGAAGACACCACTAAGTCTCACCTGACTATGATGTGCAACCTGGTGGGGCGTCAGCGGCAGGAGATCCTGGAGCTGCGGAGGGAGATGGAGGAGCTGTCCGTCAGTCACGACGGCGTTCTTATCTGGAAGCTCAGCGACTACTCCCGCAAACTCCAGGAGGCCAAAATCAGGAGCAACCACGAGTTCTTCAGCCCGCCCTTCTACACTCACCGCTACGGCTACAAGCTGCAGGTGTCCGCCTTCTTGAACGGCAATGGCAGCGGTGAGGGCTCCCACCTCTCCGTCTATATCCGCGTTTTACCTGGAGAGTACGACAGCCTGCTGGAGTGGCCCTTCTCCTACAAGGTGACTTTCTCCATTATGGACCAGAGCGACCCGTCACTTTCCAAACCCCAGCACATCACGGAGACCTTCAACCCCGACCCCAACTGGAAGAACTTCCAGAAGCCCAGCAGCACCCGCAACTCGCTGGACGAGAGCACCCTGGGCTTCGGCTACCCCAAGTTCATCTCTCACGAGGAGATAAAGAAGAGGAATTACGTCCGAGACAACTCCGTCTTCATCAAGGCTTCAATAGAGATTCCCCAGAAGATAATGGCTTAAGATCCTACCTTTGTTTTCTTTTTATAAAGGAGAAAGATGGGTAAAGACTGGAACTGAGACACTTAACTTTGAAAACTTCTACATACTTACCCTTTAGATACTTTCGACCCTTACAGCCTCTCCACTACAGAGCTTGAATGGAGTCTGTTAGGCTGGCTGAGCTGACTCGGAGGACTTTGATGTATCACAGAGGAGAAAGTGGTCGGCAGAACCATCACTCTCTGCTGTTCCTTTTTTATTACGTTTTTTTTATCTGTTTGCTGACCTTTTATCACAGTCTACAACAAAAAGCCTTGGAAATCAAACAGTGCCTAGAGAGTTTATCTTAAGTTATATTTTTGTTGTTATTTCTGCAGTAGCCTACATATGTTAAAGATTATGGAAAAGATATTGAAAAAAGGTTGTGAAGGGCTTCTGTAGAGAGAAAGTTAGAAGCAGGTGAGAGATGTTCCGTTCGGATGGTCTGAAGAAGCTGGAGCTCAGCAGACTCAAGCTCGAGCCCAACTGCCTTTTGTTTACATGCTCATACAGTATACTCCCACTGATCCCTGAACAAACACACAGCCCTTGCTTAGAGACTGCTCGTTTGTGTACACAAATACATTGAATTGATTAGATTCAACCTTGGTCATTTTTAGTGTTTTAAAAGGAATAGTATTATCTTTTGGTTTAGTTGAATGAGAAGATCAATACCACTTTACGACCAGTAGCCTGTTAGCTTGGCCTAGTATAAAGACTGGAAATAGCAAGGCTGGCTTTTTCCTAAGGTAAAATAATAATACATACAAAAGTATTTACATGCAGAGCCAGGCCATCTGTTTCTAGATGTTATGCTAGGCTAAGCTAACTCGCTGAAAGATATGTGGTAACAATTTTCATATAAGCGAATAAATGTAGCATATTTCCCAAAATGTCAAACTAACTCAAATTAAACATGCCTCTGCTGATGCTGAGAAAATCCTAAAACTGTCTGGCTTTTTAAACTGCATACACCAAAATGCAACTGTCAAGCTCAACTGAGGCTGTTTAGGTTGACAAGCTACAGATCTGTTTCTTCTAGTTACCTGCTCCCTCACAAGAACTGTCTGTGTTTGTCCGTAGTTCTACCCAGTCGTAAATAGCAGCAGGAGCGTGCAGATGTACCAAACACACACACTTGATAGTGACCCTATGATGCTTCGTATTTGTTTAAAAGTCCACCAATAGGGGAAAAAAGCACCTTTCGATGGTCGTTGGATGAGCAGAGCAGACAAAGAGGCCAGTTGTCCAAGTACACGCGCATTTAATAGTGAAGGAAAAGCCATGTGGCCTTTTTATACAGTATGTCTTCGCATGAGGGTTTTAAGGTGTGCAGGGCGACATAAACACATGCATGCTACCACCTAGACCACATTTTTGTACTGTAACCTGTATTCTTGAATCCTCTCCCATTGATGGCTAATATGTCTCTTTTTTTGGACTGTTTGAAAGTTGACAAAATGTCAAAAAAGTTTTGTTTTTTATATATACAGAAAATGTGAACGCTGTCGGTAATATAACCTATAAAGACAATGAACACTCGTCTGTGAAGTGAACTGTTTTACAAGCCCGCACATGGGTGGTGTACTTTTGGAAAAGATAGTAACGGTTTTCTGCAAATATGTGGGTGTCTCGGGACTGACTACACCTTTTGTTGTTACCATGGTCCCCTGTGTGTATCTTCAGCTCAACACACAATGTTGCAATGGAAAGCATTTGGAGGGATGTGTGCTACACCCGTCTCCGTCACAGCACCATCAGACAGGTGGAGGACTGATGATATAGTACACTACAGTCGTATGTGAATACTGATGTAAAAATGCAGAAGCACATTCTGTCATTTTATTATTATACATGGAACAATTCCTTATTTCTTGTCATAATACCAGCTGATATTTTACAGTGATTTAAAGTGAGAAGATACAACTTTTTTGTAAGATTCTGTATTTTAAAAAATACTTGGCTGTTTTATACAAACGCTTTTCGTTGGAGAGTCGGGGTCGACTTTGGGAATTTTCATACCCTTTTGTCTCTTTGGACATATGGATGATTTGTTTGTACTTGTGGTTTGAGCCTCACATATTCTGTCTGTATTATTTCCTCTTAAAAGTATTTATTTTAAAGAGCCTTCATGTGAGTTTTCACAGATGGCACAAATTCTTTAATATGTTGATTGATGAGTGCTTGTCAATTTCTTAAATGAAATAAAATACCATATATTATAGTTGTGTTCACTTTTTAAACTTTTTTTTTGAAATCCTCAAAAGCAGATCAAATCAAATCAAGTTTTATTTATATAGCACATTTATAAACGATTTCTGGTCGAGCCAAAGTGCTGTACATATAATAAAAATAGCCTACAGTAGAGACACTTTACAGCAAATACAACCGCACAGATTGTTCAGAATATCAGTATGAGAAAAAAGACACCCTCTATCCTTAGACCCTCACATCGTACAAGGAAAAACTTCCAGAGAAAACCCACAGTTTGATAAAGGGATAAAGATTCTAGATGATACGTTTAATGTAAATAAATAAACCCTGAAATAAATCTTGAATCGGAGGAAATGTAAAACAAGCGCCCCTACACAGACTTGATGGTGGACAAAAACATCCTTGGGATTTTAAGCAATAGTACGGACTCTTAAAGAACACATTCACAACTTTAAGTTTGTCTTACATAATATCCCATACTGCACAGCACATACTATCTGACAGTAACTAGATACTTAACTGACCTGGTTATGTTAACACCTGTGGAAGTGACTGGATTTAGGGGCACTTGACGACTTTAACCTGCACTTCCATAATGTCCGGGGAATTTAAAAAGGGGTTTAGTAAAGTAACACAAGCAGGAAATCTTGACCGAAGTCCCTAGTATGAGTAATGCTCAGTAAAGCCTGGATTCTACACTTCCCACAATGCAGTTAGATCTTATGTTAGACCCTCCCTGTTTGATTTATGAATATCTGTCTATTTGCACATTTTAAAACAATATTTCCGTTAAAAAAATGCGCCCCAGCCCAACTGTGTACAAAATCTACAAATACTACTACTACTATTACTTCTACATGTGTACTAGGCGATGTCTCATCTAAAATAATTGTATATGGTATTCAACTCTTTTCACAGGCAGTAGTCAGCATGCTACATTAATACATTTTCAATTCTGAAAGGGATTTGTCCAACCTGATCTGAATTTGTAAACATTGTTGGACCTGAGGGTCTAGAATATTGTTAATATGATTTTGTTTATTATCACTCTGCTTTCCTGTCACATGTGCAAAGTGTGTCTAAAAACAGGCGCTACTTCAATTACAGACATATCTGATGAACCCACTCAGTGATCTAGGTTAAAGGTGAAAGCCGTTTCTGTCCTGCCTCTTTTGTAGTTTTTGCTCCGAGATGGAGGGACGCGAAGGAGCAGAGGAAGTGAGGCAGACACCAGCCCTGCTTTGAAGCGATGCCAGGAGTTTGCATTAGCTTGCAGTTTGGATGGTGTTCAGTGCAGCAGGATTTAGGGAAGTGGAAAATTAGCTTTTAACGTCCAAGTCACTGAGAGGTCCCTCGGGAGGACAGTCCTCCACTTACGGTAGGCCTACAATAGCCGGCCAAAGTATTTCTAAAACATAAAATCTCAACTCTCTCATTCTCTTTTTTTCAGCTCTAAAATGAAAACAACATCTGTTTTAGGAATACAGTAGGACTTTTCTTTTCTTCTGTACACTGTCTTTTCTTTTGAGGATATTGCCAATATCCTTGTTTTTCATTCACCATGGCTGTTTTTAAGCTTGCCCTCAGTTAGAGGGATCATTCATTTCAGGGAGGGGACCTCTGGCCAGGGCTGTCGCCTCTCTCTCTCAAGACCGGTACAGAACGTTCATAGATTAAATGAAGAGTAGAGCCAGCCTCAAACTTTCCTGGCACAGGGTGTACAACCAACAGCACTGTGCTGCTTCAGGGCAACGCAGAATGAAAATAGTAACAACTAATTACATGTTAGCAAGCTCCATGTGTCCCATGCAGAGTAGTGTCACGTGTGGCTCTCAGTACAGTGCTTCCCTTTGGTTTCGCTCTCTTTTTTTTGTTTGCTTGGTAAATGATTTGCAGGTATGAGAGACACGTTCTCATACACACTGAGAACAGCAGTGTCGTTCCTGCTTGGTGAGCTCACCCAACCGGTCAAAGTATGCAAAAGATGCCATCTGGGTTAAAGGAGGAGGAGGTGGTGGGAGTGGTGGTAGTGGTGAAGGCGGAGAAAGGCCCAACCCATGAGGCTTTCCTCGCCCATAAAAAACAACATCAGAGGAGCTGTGGTCTATGATGCAGTGCCATGCTGTCGTCCCTCATACAGTAAGTTAAACAGTTGTGCCTCATAGTGCAGGAACTGAACCGGGATGAGGAAATATGAGAAGCAAAACAAGATTCACACTCAAGATTTACAACAAGAAAGCTCAGTGGTTGAGAAAAAAGGTTAATTTTTTACTTTGAAAACAATAGTTTGACAAAAAAATACACATCTAATCCATTAAGCCGGACGGCTAGGTGTTGTTGAATGTTGAAAGTAGTAGTGAACCTTGAATTAGGACTCTCCGCATTGTTCATATAGTTTGTTTATTTTAAGGTACTAATAAATGATTTACTGGGTCCTTACCCATATACGTATAAGTAAAGAGATGCATTTAGGAGGGACCTAGCTTGTAAAAATACCTTGTAATTTCTTTAAGTAGCAGTACATACTTTACTTTTCTTACCTCTGGTCTTATACCCATATAGCCTATATATTACTAGGTTCCTGGTTAGTGTGTTATTGATACCACCTAGTTACACTGTTGACTTTTTTTCCTATCTTAGATGATCCTAAATCTAATCTTCTATTACTCACAGGCAGCTCCACCCATCCCTCAAAACCAAAAGGCATTAGCTGTGAGTCTGTACTCTCCTTTTATCGCATCAAACCAGAACAAAAGTGTTAAATGATTCTTCGTCAAAAGAGAATATTGTGACCTCATCCCATTATGTGACTAAAACACATTTCATACATAAATGATCTAATTCAATGAGAGGCTGGTTTAGGACTGCTGCAGTACAGGTTATTTTAAGATTTATATTTGTTATTGAATATCTTGCAGACTACTGATATTACAGATAACGAAAGCTTAATTTCTCTCAACTCTAAATAAACTCTTAAGTGTTACCCAAGCATCTTCCTCTTGGATCACAGACTGGATGGCATGATAAGGTTGGCTGAACACTCTGACCTCACTGACATAGGCTTCTCTGACACAACAGCACAGTATAAGAAAATACAGCTGATTGATTTATTATTTGAAGTTAAAAAAACTACCGGCTTCATATTGATTTATGCATTTCCTCTGATGTAAATCCATCCAGCGGGAGTTTGAAAGCCAATCGAGTAAGATTAGAGGCAGTGACTTGGGGCCAAAGGTCAGTCAGACCCACCGTGGCTACCTGCCAGCAGTACGATGCTGCGGGCTCGGATCAATCACTGGCCTGAATTACTGGAATAACACACCAGCCCCAGGTGGGAGGATCCTAGAAGGGTTCATAGTCTATGTGCTCACTCATACACGTCAAAGAAATCTCTGATTGATCATGTCCAATACTACTTTGTTGATTCTACAAAAACGGAATTGCAGTGGAAGAGTAAGTCCAGCATGAAAAGTAAAAACACCAACATATGCAATATTATTTTATCATTATTGCAAAACAAATAGAAGACTGTAGCTCAGGTTGTTTTATTTTTCTCAACATTTATGCATGTGCTAGCAATCCAATATGCCCCTGGTTAGTGATTGGACGGTATAGGGAGACAAGGGGTTCTGATTAACAATATTTACACACAACAGGAAAATATGTTGTAATATTGTAAATTATTTATGAATTATTTTAGTAACAATATATGCATGACTGATGCCAATAATGCTGGTTTGAATGTGCGCAGGTGTATGGCATCTTCCCATAGGCTACAGGTGTGTGGGCGGGGCTAAACTTTGACAGCGTGATGTGTGAGCGAGAGCCAGCTAGATAGTAGGCTTGTTTGAGACGCGTTGCGGCTCGCCTCGAAAGTAAACGAGAATAGCCGATCGCAGCCGGGGGAGGTCTCAAAAAGCTCGCCTGAAGTCGGACAGCTCGGAGTCGGCTAGGTCTTCTTCTTCTTCTTCTCTCGGTTTTTTGGCGGATTGCAAACAACTTTAAGGTGCATACCGCCACCTCCGGAGTCGGCTTGACTCGGTTTGCATTTATAAATAATGCACACATGTGTTTAATCAACCCAGTCTCACGGCATTTCGTGTTCACCAACACGATTTTTAATCTATTGATTCGTGTTCACCAACACGATTTGCCCCTTTTCTTCGTGTTGCACAGCACGATTTTAAAAGCAAAGTATTTCTACTGCCTGCAGCACGTCTTTTTCTCCGGTCGGGTCGAGGAAGACCGGAAGCTGTGTGGTTCATAAAAACATGTTCTTACTCAATATCAAGCCACAGTTATTGCTTTTATTTGAAATCGTATAATTTCGGACTTTTGTTGCCGTCTGTGAGGAAAATAAATGGGGCTCAGAGCCTCAGGATACTGAAATCTGTATTTTTTAAATCTTTTTTTCCTTCTAATTTGTTATTCTTTTCAAAATAACACACTGTTATTTACTCACCAATAACACACAATTATCCTTGCTTTTATTTATTGGTTTAATTCCATAATCTCGGGCTTTTTTGGCGTCCGTCAGGAACTGAATTTCAAAATAAAAATAACCGGAAACAGACGTAGGCATTTCGAGCGATTACCCAAGATCCTCAGCTATGGTTTTAAGCTCGCTTATTGGATGTTTTAGCCGCAATGCATGCTGGGATTTAGTGTTTATATGATATGAAATCCGAAAAACATTTTAAAAGAATAAAAGAATACTTAATTCCGAGCGCTCTTGCTTTTCTCTTTGAAAGTCATCACATAACGGCATTGTAATACACGGTTCGGCTGCATTGTATATTACAGATCTGCCGTAGTTCTTTATTTATAGAGCCCTGATGAGAAGACCTTTGGAAAAACTGAGAAAATGCCGCCGAAACTGAATACTTGACGTGGATCATAAATATATTCAACAATTAAACAACATCTTCAATTTCTCTTCACACAATACGTCTCCTTGCAGTATCAACACTAATTCGGCTGACTTTTACATTTGATCTAATTCACAGATAG